TCTCATCCTCCTTGGAGCACACAAGCCCCACAACCACGTCAAGGTAGTGCCTCACTGGGGGGGTGGTATTATTATTATTATTATTATTATTATTTTCTACTATTTCTATTATTAGCAATAACTAATTTGGCTGCTAGAAGTAGAAACTTAGAAAGTTTTACTTTGCAATGTCCTATCAAATATCTATAGGAAGTCTAACTTTGGAGAGAATTCAATCTTCTATTTAGTTATATTCAACATTTCATTAAACAACTTCTTCCAAAAATATTCTTCTCATTCACACCAGAGGCGAAAGAATGTTCCTTTCAATTTATAGTCTTGTCAGCAAATCACTGAATATTTAGAAGATATATGTTAGATTCTTATTAGGGTTTGATGCTACTGTATGTTTATGATGCATTATAACCTATACAGAAATCCCTCATGCTGTCAAAAAGACTGCCAAGTATTATCACCTTATGGTTTCTATTAGTCCTGTGGTAGATTCACCATAAACTATTTCAAATAAAATCTAATATATTTTAGATTAGATTCTGTGAAAAAAGTAACATTAATTTTTCAAAGTTAGATGTCTATCCAAACTTTTTAAAAATGTGTAATATTGAATTTTTACACGAAAAAAACCATGGCACCTTTTATTTTGTTGTTTAACTTGCTTTAAATTGCTCCATCATCCTTTATACTGCAGCAAATATAAAACATTTCTTTTAATTCTATTGTACATTAATTTAAAACAAAATAATAAAAAAATTTTGCCATAGTATATCAAAAATATTTATTGGAAGAGTTTGAAACAGATATATTGGTTTTAGAAATGTCATCCTCTTTCTTGCTGTTATATAGCCTAAAATACTAAGTTAGCCTTGTTTCATCTTTTCATATCCTTTCTTTTTTTTTTTTTACAAGCAAGGCCATAATTATTATTGAATAGGCTATTTAAATTCCTTAAATTCAATAAGTAATTTTCTCCCTCTATATTAATTCCCTAGATTTGATCATTCATATGTGATGCAATAGGTAACATTTCAATAAAGGACTCGTCCCATTCTAGCTTCAAACCCTGTTTAAGTTCTTTAAATATGTGCTTGATACAATTAAAGTCCACTTTGGAATTATTTAAAAGCTGCAGTTTGCATTTCAGTTTCTTCTTCCTCTTCTCCAATGGAGGAAGATCGCCAGTTGTTTGTTTCTGTCTCTTTCATGTATGTTCTCATCACTTCAGTCTTTTGCAATGCACTTCTGGACATTTTGAGTTTCTTAACTGCATCATAGAGGAATTCAACATGCCGTCTTCAACTGAGTTAAGACACATTCCCCCACACATGCTACAAGTGAAAACTGATTGCCTTCCTGGAAGAGAAAACATAGAGACTAGAGATGAAGCAATTAAGAAACTCTAAATGTCTGGGTTATCAGGAAAACTGAGGAATTCTTGAATTAGATACTGGAAGCAACTGCAGAAGAAGCCTGCAGTTCTTGACAAGCAATCCCAAGAAGCCTCCCAGAAAATAGAAGAAAACCAGGAGAGGGGATAGAGACATGAAAAAATGTAATAAAAGGAATCAGTCCTGTTAACAAGAGCTCTTTTTCCTTGAAGCTTCAGAATAGATTTCATAATTTTCTCATTGATGATTTTTCTGGACCCCTGGACAAATAGCAGCTGCAACAAGCTTTAGAGTCTGAAGAAGAAATTTCTGACCCTGTCCTAAGAGATATATGGAAATGAATTGAGCATTAGAATTGTTGGCAATTCAAATATGGCAAGAAAACAGAATATTTTGAATAATTAGCTGCACAAGAACATACATTGAAGTTATTTGCTTATGATACTGTACTAACAATTGCTCAGCCTAGAGTCTCTTTAACAGAGTTGATGGAACATATATGACACTATGGTTCTGTGTCAGACTATCGAATCAATAAAGAGAAAACTTAAATGCTGACATGGAATTTGATAGAGAATGAAAAGCAATTTGTATACGAACTAACAGAGTTTAATATCACTGCTAAAAAGGTCAAATATTTAGGAATTTTTAAATAAAAACAACAAAATATATTTCTGAATAATTATTTATGAACTTGTAATAACAGATGTTTCTAGATGGAAGAAACTAAATTTGTCCTGGACTAGTCTTTGCAGTTTTTTTGGCAAGGATTTTTGGAAATGGTTTGCCATTGCCTTCTTCCTAGAGCTGAAAGAAAATGACTGGCCCATGGTTACCCAGCTGGCTTCGTGATTGAGGCAGGACTAGAACTCTCAGTCTCCTGGTGTCTAGCCGGATGCCTTAACCATTACACCAAACTGGCTAAGGCACCAGGATAGAACCTGGGAAATCAGGAGTCCTAGTCCTGCCTCACTCACAAAACCAGCCACCTTGGGACAGTCACTCTCTCTCAGCTCTAGGAAGGAGGCAAACCTTTTCCAAAAAACCTTGCCAAGAAAATAGCAGGGACTAGTCCAAGCAGTTGCCAGCAGTCAACACTGACTCAAAAGCACCAAAAAAAAAAAGGAAGAATTGCCGTAGTTAAAATGAGTATTCTACCAAGACTAAATTTTCTATTTCAAATTATTCCAGTTTTTATTGAGAATAAAGTATTAAACAACTGACACAGACAAGTAACAAAGTATATATGGTCTTAATAAAAGGCCAAGGATTAAATTCAAGTATTAAACAACTGACACAGACAAGTAACAAAGTATATATGGTCTTAATAAAAGGCCAAGGATTAAATTCAAGTATTAAACAACTGACACAGACAAGTAACAAAGTATATATGGTCTTAATAAAAGGCCAAGGATTAAATTCAAGTATTAAACAACTGACACAGACAAGTAACAAAGTATATATGGTCTTAATAAAAGGCCAAGGATTAAATTCAAGTATTAAACAACTGACACAGACAAGTAACAAAGTATATATGGTCTTAATAAAAGGCCAAGGATTAAATTCAAGTATTAAACAACTGACACAGACAAGTAACAAAGTATATATGGTCTTAATAAAAGGCCAAGGATTAAATTCAAGAATTTACAGGATTCAAAAGAATGAGATGGTCTAGCAGCTCTGAACTTCAGATTCAGCTGTGCCATGGATTTCAGAACATATTATATTTCCCTATAGTTCTGTCACTTCCATGGAAGGGGCTGGTCTTCTGGAGGGGCTGCAGAGATATATTTGGGTTGATGTACACAAAAGTAAACTATTCTTAAGAGACTATGCAATATTAAGTAACCTACTGAATGTTTAACTTAAATACAGGAAAAGAGTAAGTCCAGATTTCTCCCCTCTTGCTTTGTTATTGAATATCTATTTTTATGAAGGCACTAAGAAATATGCTCCTACATCAGACACTAGGCAGTAGGGAAGAGGTGGATGAAGAGGTAAAAGACTGGAAATTTTGAGAGAAATTTCCTAATTTCTATTAGAAACACCTAATAATATTGCATCCAGT